GGGGTGGCTGGGACGCTGCTCGTTATTTCGCGTTCCTGTGCGTTGTTACCGTGTGTTTTGTCTTGTGATTTAGGGGTTCGGTTCGTCTTTAAGGGCAGGCGGTGATGTCGCGTTGGCAGCTCGTCAGCGCTAATTGGTTTATTATTGTGTGGCATCTAAATTATATATGCTATATATATGCGTGTATGTATATATGTGTATGTGTATATGTACATATGTGTATGTGTATATATGTGTATGTATGTGTACACATATGTGTGTGTATGTGTATATGTGTGTGTAGTTACAATGCATAAAGATATAAAGCTAATAAGATACGTAAATATGTGAAACAGACAAAATAGAATTCAAGGTGAAAAGTAGTGATTCAACATCTGTATAATCCAAGTAGTTAGTCATTTCTGCATGTGTATATGTGTGTATATATGTATGTGTATGTATATATATGCACATACATATGTGTATGTATATATATATTTATATATATTCCTTTTTATTCCTCACCAAAAATGTAAGAAGTGATGTATCACTGATGCCATTTGAGCCAAACACACCTACTGTTAAATACTGCCCAGACTCCATAGGTTTAACTTAAAAACTACAGAAACACAAGGACTGGAACGGACAGTAAATCAGCATTTCACTCACACATCAACATTTAGAAGCCTTTTCTTCTCGGGTGTCACTGCTTCCATTCGGGGTGTGCTGAGTGTTTTCACTGGGTTTTTTTAAGCTCCTAGTCTGTGTTATCTTCTGTATTTCCTGTGAGAAAATAGCATGATAAGTAGGCACCTTAAATAACTTTGCTAATTCAGTTGTGGTTATATCATTATCCTTCCCTTCTAAAGGCTTAATGGTGTTCCCAGTACTTGTGTGTGCAGCCTAAAACCTGCAGCTCGGGCAGTTCCAGGTGAAGGAATGGATTTGTCTGGGTGTGCATTCAGCCTGAGATTAAAGCCCTAAGCATTAGAAATGCATCTAGAAATCAGGTGTTTCAAATTTCAGTGCATTGTACACTCAGGGCTTGGAGTAGATGATCTTTAAAGGTCTCTTTTAACCCAACCTATTCTATGTTGAATCCAAAATCCAAGACTTTATTGGAACACGGAGCTAAAATAAGTGTTAATAGAGCTGGAAATCAGTACAGTACACCTCTGTAGATTTGATAAGTTTGTCATGTTTAGCTTTGAAACATTATTTTAGATCAACCACATTTTTTGGGGGGGGTTAAAAACATGAGGATATTACTCCTACTTACCTGAGGTATCTAGGTAGCTGATAACATTTCCTAATTCCACTGTGCAATCCTGCTAGTTTTCTTTCTTGAAAATATGCATTGTTTTTTATTAAATAAGGTGATTTTGATGTGCTGCTCTGGCCAGGAACTTTGCACAGATGACTGTGGTGGCAATTTCCTGAAGACTTAGAAGAGAGTCAGGGAGAAAATCTGATGGGTTTTCATTACTGTGGTGAATTGTGTGCTCTCCATCTCACATAAAATCTGATCAGGTGAGGATTCATAATTCTGCCACTGGAGTGAATGTCAGTGCCAGAGGCTGTGCCATATTCCACGTGTATCCAAGCAAGGCCCATTCCCTGTTAAATGTCCTCTATCCATAGTCCATTGCACTCACCATCTGTCCAGCCACGTGTTACAGGGATCTGGCTGTGGAGAATAGCTTTTATCTTGAATCATAGCATGAAACAGGAAAGAACAAACTCTTGAGTTTGATGTTTAAGTTGTGTAAAATGTAATAGGATTTGATCTCAGGGTTTGACATCTGGCAGCCAACAGTGGGAGGTTGTGTGCCATCATGGAATTGTTGTATCTGTTGTCTCCAAGAGTGAGTAATTAGTGGTGTGTGCTTTGCAGTTGGACAATAAAAGGTACATTCTTTGGCTCAGGTGTGGGTGATGTAACCAATCTATTTACTGTAGGCAGAGAGGAGTGTTCCCAGTGAGGAGAAGGACTAATGTCTCTTGTGGTTGTCAGGTGACAACCTGTGAAGGACAAGGTTATTTATACTGTATGTAGGGAGGGATGTACAGGAGGTTGACACAGTCACGGCTGAAGAAAGACTGTGTTGTACCTGGGGAGAATAGTGCCCCTGTATGTCAGAGCTGTACATTCAGGTTTTAAATGTGTGTGATGTGCTTGTTTTACTGCCAGACTGGGCTTGGGTTCCAAGGCAGTGTTGGTAAAATTAGAAGAAGGCAAGACAGTAATGTATTATGTTGGAAAACTGCGTGTGAGTGTATATAAATACACATATATACAGGTGTAAGTGTAATTCTTGTTTTGGCAGAACCTTTGTCATCCTCATTTTGCAAGGAAAGCTGCAGTTAGACTAAATCGAGCTGAAATGGGGGGATAGTGGGTGTTTTGTGAAGAGGCATTTGCTAAAGGCCTTGAGAACTCTTCAGCACATTGCCACATGTCTATGGTGACCTGACGTGGTGAGGTGAATTCCCTCCTCTGCTGCCTCTCGTTTTGGAAAGCTGAGGGCTGACAGTGTGGTGTGCAGTGTGCTGCTCTCTGTTCTGCAGTGTGTATGAAATATGAAAGGAAGGCAAATTTTGCTGTTTAGAAGACCTTTTATTTCGTATAAAAATGTCTATTCTGTTTGTAGTTGGGAGCTAATCCACAGGCCTGACTTCTGAGTGGCCTTATAAATGGTTTTACCATGGCTTACATACATAGATTTTGGGGTTGTTCTTCAAAGTGGAATTAAATGCAGTAAAGAAAAGTAAGAGAAATTGATAAATTGACGCTGTCTGCAAAGGCTGCTGAACAAAAGATGGTTAAAATAGTCTTTTTAATCGTGGCAGCTGCTTCTGTTATGATTAATTAATTAGAACAGCAACTTCCCAGGGAGACTTCTCTGTGGTTTCCCCTGTACTCCCTTGATGCTCTATATTACAATTGTGTTGGCTGTGGATAAAGTCATTTGTGGTTGGCTGCTTGTAGCTGCAGAGACACTTATGACTGGTGCAGATTGCCTTGACTCCTTGCAGGGACCCTCAGCCTGCAGGCAGTGGTGCTCGGGACATCACAGGTTTAACTGAGTTTACTGTTACACCTGTAATAATGCCAAACCTCTTTTTTTTTTTTTTTTTTCCACTTGTTCCTAGATCACTGCGAAGAAGAAAACTGTGATTGTCCAGGATCTGGTATATTTTTTTTCTCAATGAGAGAGGGCAGTCATGGCCTTGCAGTTTTTTTAGCCCTCTCCTGCAGTTATGCAGATTGAGGACTGATCTTTCTGGACCAGAGATTTAGCTTTTATGCCAGTCTAGACTAGGATTTTTAGAGAGAACTGGAATAAGTCCTGCTCATCGAGTGACTTGGGATCGTGAGTTATACCACCTTGTAAGTCAAGTGAGAAACCTTGTGAGGCCTCTGCTGAAGGAGCAGGCAAGAGTGAGTTGACTGACCAGTCAGTTTGGCCTGTTTGAGAATGTTCTTAAGCTCTAGTTTTGAATTTGATCATGGAAGGCTGAAAATTATAGCATAACGTCTGGTGCTTAGTAACTGTTTTCATGGCAAAAGGACATGAACCAAAGCTGCTCTTGCGTTTGTGAGGCACAAGTGAAGTTAGGAGGAATTTTAATGCCTGCCAAGTTGCCTTGGGAGGGTCCTGACTCCAGTTATACTTTGGTCTCTTATTTAATGTTTTTAATATTTGTTGCTCTTTCTCTGCACTCTGACTGCCTAATCACCAAGGATTTGTAATCCTTTTGGCTTTGTGGGGCCCAACAGTTTTGGTAATAGCTGATGATGTTACAGAACATCACGACTACATACACCGACTGGTTTGAACCTCTCACAGTATCTCCAGTTTTACTTACTGTATTGTACTGTAACAGCGATCCTTTTGTTTTTACAGATGATTCTGCAGATGTTGGAGAAGAGGACAGCTTCTTGGGTCAGACTTCTGCCAGCCCCAATCCACCACAGACTTTCAACTACTTCTCTCAAGTACCCAGCAGCAGTGATCCCTTTGGAAGCATTGGGCAGCCACCCTTAACAACTGCTGCAACACCCACTGGGGCACCAGCCTTCTCCAGGCCTCCAACTTCACTTCCAGTCGTGTCTGGGTCACAGGATGGGCAAAATGCCTTTTCACCACATATTCCTAAGTCCCAGTCTTACAGTGCACCTCCTACTTCCCAGGTGGGAATGCCTCAGCAGAGCTGTCCCCCACCTGCAAACGCATCTGCTGTTCCCCCAGGAACACCTCAGCAGGGATATAACCCATACAGACACACCACCCTGAGCAGCAGAGCCAACCCCTACCTCACTCCACCACAGCTGCAACAGGGTTATGCACCTGCTCACACACCTTCCTCTGTGCCACCTGTCCAGATGTATCAGACACCTCCAGGGCCACTCACACAGGTATGTAACTCATTCCTGATGCTCTGGTACCAGAACAAAACAATCCAAGTCACTTTCCCCTTTGAAGTGTGTGTTTTATTGTTTGAAGATTTTTCTTCTCCACCAAAAAAAGAGAAAAAGTCTTGAACCTTTTCTAACAGTAAAGTCTTGTGACTAGAAGGAGCTTGAACTGTTGTTTTGGGAAAACATCCTGGTTTTTGAAGTGAATGTGCCCTGAGGCTGTAGCTACGTGAGCCTCTAGGGGTCAGGAAAAAGCTTCTTTGTGAAGTTCCACTGCTGTTTTCTGTGGGTTTCTGAGTTTGCTGCATTTCAGCTGTGCTGCTGCATTGTTTGTGCCTCTGCTGTGAATCAGGTCATTCAACCATTTGCAAGATATGGGCTAAAGTCTCTTTTCAAGCTGGTTTTGTTGGTGAAACCAGAACTGCTTGAAATTAAATCACATAAAATCGTCAGCAACCTCTTTGGAACGTATCGGTCGAGGATTTTGTGTGATGTAAAGCATTAATCTCTATTCTTTAGCTGCACAAAAGCTTTATTAAAATAATGCAAATGGGTTAGTAAGAACCTGACACTTTTGCCTTGAAAACAGAAAAAAATTGGTTTTATTTTTGTCTAAGCTGTTGCAGTATTTTTGATACCATGGATAAAGAATATAAAGATTATATAATATGTCAAAACCACAGCAAGGGCAGTAGAACCGAAACAGTCTGGAGGTTTAGATTAGGTAATTTCAGAACTCCTGTTTGCTTGACTTTATATATTGTACAATATTTTTGGCGTTCTTTTAATTTTTTTTTTCCTTAAACGTGTCATCAGCCAAAGCAGTTGCTACTTCTGACATCACTTGGTTTTAGTTGCACTGACTGGAATTTTTGTACAATTGGTATGAGATCAGTTTTTTGTAGGCTGAAATCCCTTTCAAAATCAGTTACTTGTGTCACTGAGGCTACATTTGAGTGTGTAATCTGCCTGTTCTGATCACTTTGCAGGAAGAGAGCTATTACTGAAGTTAAAATTATTACTTATTAAAATTGACAATCTTCATGAAAAGATGCAGTTAATGTATAAATGCAGAATGAGAAGAATCCATTTTTATTTTCATGTCAGATTTTGGAAATAAGCTCAGCTTGAGTTCTGAAGTTTTAAGAGAATATTTGAAATCTTATTGGTGTTAGGTAGTCACAATGCTAAAGCATAGCAGTTTTTAACAGTATTTGTGGGAACAAAATTCACATTCTTTTTCAGTTGGAAAAGGTGTAAGTTTTCAAACACATGATAAAGTGGACAACTGGTCTATAACATTTTTAGAGGGAAAGATAATGTTTTTGGGGAGGAAAAAATGTCAGCAATTAAGGCTTAGAGTGTAAGTATAGATTAACTCTGTAAAAACTGAGTGACATTGAGGTGATGAGCCCATCTGTTTTCAGTTCCCACAGTCCCAATCCCAGACCCAGCTCCAAGCTCCCAGGACTGCAGGTCCTCTGGTCCCAGCCCATCCCGTCCTGCTGCAGAACCAATATGAACCAGTTCAGCCACACTGGTTCTACTGTAAGGAGGTGGAGGACAAACAACTCTGGATGCCCTTCAGCATTCTGGATTCTGCAAAACTAGAGGAAGTCTATAATTCTGGTAAGTACTATCTTACCTAAAGCTGAACAGAAAGACTAAAAGGAAGATGTCAGAGTAGAGCCACTGATGTGTGAGTGTGATGTGGCAGTAATCAGTAAGGTTAATATGTGCCTTAGTGATGTATTTTGTGCTGCTTAGTTTTTCATTTACATTATCTTTCACTTGATGCTGTCACTGTACCATCCCTGGTGGATGCCAAATTTTCATATGGTTTGTCTTTTTGTTAAACTGCCAGTTCTGGAGTAAATATTTGTATCTGGGAGTTGTTCATAGCTTTGTTGTTACGTGCAGAGCATATAGGAGCGTTTTAGAGGCATCACAATGGTTGCCTGATCCTATGAAGCTTCTCTGGCATTGTATAACTGTCTGAATGGACTAATATTGGTAGCAGAAGTGCCTGGGGCTGGGGTGAGAGAGGAGATTATATGTGTTAGTTTGGTAATGAAGCATGTCTTGTGTGTCCCAGTCCAGCCTGACCCTGAGAGTGTGGTTCTGAGCACAGACGGGGGTCGCTACGACGTGTACCTGTATGACAGGGTGAGAAAAGCTGTTTACTGGGATGAAGAGCCTTCGGAAGTGAGACGATGCCTGTGGTTTTATAAAGGAGACAAGGACAGCAGGTTTATTCCTTACACTGAGGATTTTAGTGAAAAGTTAGAGGTTAGTATTACCTTTACATTGTCACAAAGGCCTTGTTAGTTCATCGTGTTAATGACCTTAGAAATATTTCTGTTTCATTGAAGTGATTTCCAGAATGCACTTGCTGGAAAATAAATAAGCAAATCCTGGAGAGTGGAGCAGCTAGAAAGCCACATTGCTCACATATCAGTCCTGCACTGCTGTGACCTGAAATCAGCTTGTGTAGCTTTTCATGTGACACTTTATATAAAACAAAGTTATGTAAATTATAACTGTAACAGATGATGCACAAGGCCAAAAACTGCTGAGAAGATTGCCTGAGAAGATGTACTGATTTTGTGTAACTTGTTTACTGTTTCAGGCAGAATATAAAAGGGCTGTAACTACAAATCAGTGGCATCGGCGACTCGAGTTCCCAAATGGAGAGACAATTGTTATGCATAATCCCAAGGTAACAGATTTTGGCAGTTGTGGCTCACAGAATTCATTAAGGGTGATTGAGCAAATGGATGGAGACATAAATTGAATGCAGTCTTAATCTTGCTTGAAATGTACTTGCTGATTGTTTTGGATATGTGTGCAATGAAGATGATAAAGTTCACAGAACACTGAACTTCTGCTTGCTTCAGTGTGCTGCCATGTGGATAAAAGACAATACTTTCTGAAACCTAAGGAGAATAAGGGTTTATGTAGTCAATATTTTGGCTAAGCATAGCTGGCAGCAAATGGTAGGCAATTTAAATTAGTTGAACCTCAGACAGTCTGTACCAAATGAAAGAGAATTTCAACTAAGAGCTTTCATGTGGAGAAGTGCATTAATCTAACTAAAAGGTAAATTGTTTATCTAAGCCATGGAAAGTTTTCTACTGTGACTATTTCTAGGCCCTAAGAAAGTATAGTAAAACAAGCTTTAAGAGTTATTCTCAATCCTCTGTGAACACTCTTGTATATTAAAACATGGACTTCAGCCTTATTGACCAATGCTGTTAACTGCTCACTTATCACAGATGCAGTAATTAATAAATAAAATAATCCAAGGGCCAAAAAGGATTACTGTTGCTCCTAGTTTAAGTGCTTAGTAATGCTGATTAAGGAATTCTGTCCAGTAAAACCTAGAGAAGGAACAGTTAAACCACTTGGTATCATAAGTGTTCAGACTGTGAGTCTTATAAACAGTTGTACTGCTCAGTTCATCACTTTCTGAGGTTTCTGGGCTGCATCAAATGCTGTTGTCCTTCCCTGAAAAGCATTGTGCTTTTTTTTTTTCTTTTTCTCCTTGTGATAGTTATTGCAAATAAGATATTATTCAGTTTCCTCACATAGACAGTAATCTGCTAAGGAAGAGTGGATACTGGGGACTAGGAAAGAGGAGATTCAACACTGCTTATCTGAGGAGATAAAATTTTTCAGTATCACTGCGCAATCACAGCTTCTCCAACTGGTGGTGTCTTTTGTCTAAGTCACCTGTTGCTTTTCATGCTAATAAGTATTATCTATGATTTTGAAGTTTAGTTTTAATGAAGCTGTTGCTGCCCCAGGGAATAGCCTTAGGGTTAATGAAGGCCTTTTTTTTTTTTTTTTTTTTTTTTTTTGCATATGTGCTAACTGAAGAAAACAGTTGAGTGTCAGATGCAAGGTGAAGCAGTCAGGTGTGTTAAACCATGCAGTGCTTTCAGACTAACAGCAGGAGTCAGAAGGGGTTTTGCGTTTGTAGTTGACAATGCATTTGTTGCAGGTGATAGTTCAGTTCCAGCCTGCTGCCACACCAGATGAATGGGGCACCACTCAAGATGGTCAGGCAAGACCAAGGGTGGTAAAACGTGGGATTGATGATGACCAGGATGAGATCCCTGATGGTATGTGATTGTTGTACATGGGTCTGCACTGTGAGCTGTTGGTTTGGTTCTGTGCAAAAGTTGGACAGTAATGAGTGGAGTAGCAATGAACTGTTCCTGCCTCAAGATTATTCGCTAGTCTAAGCTGCTTGAAAGAGGTTATCTGGTTTTGGTTTCTTTTTAAACAAAGGCATCCTGTGAGCTATGTCATGTCCTGAACCACGTTATGTAATGGGCTTTGTACAGCAAGTGTATCTTAGAGTTACTTGACTCTAAACTTCACTCCTGCAGTACATATTGGTACTCTGAATGTTTCCTTTTCTTTTTCTACAGGAGAAATGTCCCAAATTGACCACCTAGTATTTATGGTTCATGGCATAGGTCCTGTATGTGACTTGAGGTTTAGAAGCATTGTTGAATGTGGTAAGTTTGGGTTTGTATAATGAGCAGTTGTATTCTTAATTGTCGAAATGTGGCTCTCTGTGCCTTCTCAGATTTACAGCTTTAACTGTTATTACTAGTCAGACTTGCAGAGTGGTTTGGGTTTTGGGATGTTTTTTGTTTGAATGAGTATTTTTGTTTGGGGTTGTTTTGCTTTTTCTTGTAGTGTGGTATGTTGTTTGCCTATTTTATAAAAAAACACTCCAGTACAAATGAGGAAATAAGAAAGCCTTGTCTAGTCATGGAGTGAAAATGCGTTCATTGTGTGCTAAGTAGCAGCTTGCTAGAAAATCCAATTTTATGTATTTTCTTGCTGTTGGAGTAGTAATACTTGGAAAGACTTTTCCAGTTTGCAGTTTCCATCATTGATATTCCAGCTACGTGTGAAATTGAAGGAGGGGGGAAGTATTTGTGTGTTGCTTGAGTGCTGCTACTATCAGATTGTCATTATTCATCTTTACAGTTGACGATTTTCGGAGTGTTTCCCTGAAGTTGTTGCAGACTCACTTTAAGAAGGGTTTAGAGGAACGTAAAGTGAGCAGGGTGGAATTCCTGCCTGTTCATTGGCACAGCTCTCTGCATGGAGATGCAACAGGTGTAGACAGGTGAGAATGTTGTTTAATGTTGAAACCTTCTTATAAGCTGCTTCTTAACAGTTTTTTTGGAAAGTGGAGAAAAGAGCAGTGAATCACTTTAGGCTTGATGAGTAAATGTATGTCTGGGTTACAAAAGAAAATTGGTATTTTTTTAAATTATCATTTTGATGATGAGTATATGGAAAGCTGGTAAGGCATGAGGAATATTTTCTCTTGTTTATTTTCACACACACAGTTTTTCAGTACTGCATTTCCATGAAAGTGGCCAATGCATGATAGATGATTATGAGTGAGCGTGCAGAGATTGTGATTGTGTGTGAGGTGGTTAGCATGGAGGTATGTACAATTTAGAATGGAGAGTTCTCTGTTCTTTACCTTCCTGCAGTCTGATTGAGTTTGACCCTAGAGGTGTTGGTATCCTCTTTCTGAGGAAGGCATAGAGCCCTCTGCCCAGTCCTAGAGGAGTACCTGAGCTATGATAAAGCGGTTGAGCTCAGGATTTTTTTTTCTTGAAGCAAAGTATCTACATTTGGGTAGGAGTGTTACAGATTTTTAAAGTCTGCTTTAGAATCACTTCTCTGTGCCTACCCCTTTGCTGTCACTTGACATTTCAAGCTGTTTTCTCTTGCTCAAAGATGGGGAAGTAGAAACTGTGAGCATAGCAACCTGTGCCACTTGAAGTGCCCTCTGGTGTGCACCAGATTGTTCTAGCTCAGTCAAGTCATGCTGCTTTCTTGGAGCTTAGTCTTTCCTTCACATTTGAACACTGCATTATCATTATCTGTTCAGCCAGGCAGTGCTAGCTAAGTCAGCCTCAATTCTAGAGCAATTCCATTGCAGCTGTCTTAGCTCCAGGCAGGCAGATGGCAATGCCAAGCTTTTTCTTCAAGAAGAGAGTATTCTATGATTCTTATTTTATATGTGAGTTCTTTTTCTCTTCCTCTTCAACCAATCTGCTCACAAAACATCCCTGTTGCTATATGAGAGCAGTGTTGGAATAGAGAAGAGTTTATTTCAGGCATCCCTTCAGCCTGGAGAGTGAAAAAGGGAGCTGTGTCTCTTTCAGATATGTACAGTCAGGCAGCAGCACTAATGTATGAGTATGCAACAAGGCTGGAAGGTTGTATGGGTTTTTGAAAATGTCTTTAGAGGCCTTTCCTGAGGTATTTACATTGTAGTTCTCTTCCCTGTCGCTGCAAAAATTAACAATCTTAACCTGTGTTTCCTTAAAGGTGTTTATGCTTCTAATGATTTTGTGTTCTAGGAACATCAAGAAAATCACTCTGCCCAGCATTGGTCGCTTGAGGCACTTCACCAATGAAACTCTCCTGGACATCCTGTTCTACAACAGTCCCACCTACTGCCAGACCATCGTGGATAAAGTGGGGATGGAGATGAACCGACTGTACGCACTGTTCATGAGCCGCAACCCCGACTTCAAGGGAGGAGTGTCTGTGGCTGGGCACAGCTTAGGTGATTCCTCATTGAGCAGAGGGCTCAAATTGGCTATTAGGGCCTGGCTGTCTTCCAGAATACAGCTCTCAATAGCTAAGTTTATCAAGCTTTGAGAGAAAATGAGTAGTTTCCTGCATGAAGACTTAGTATCTATTTCGTATTGCAAAGTTGACAGGTTATCTAGTGTCTGTCTGTCTTCAAAGATCTGTTAGTTGGGTGATTTCTGTGTCTCAGAACCCCCGCTAAGGAAAAGTACACTGATTTTTTTTTTTTTTTTTTGCAAGATGAACTAAGTATTATAATGTCATATTGACCTGGTTGTTTGGGCTGAAACTTTTCCTCCAGTTTGGCAAGCAATCTCAGGTGTGTAAGGAAAGAGTTTAATCAAGGCATGAACAAGGGAAATAAAGGGTTTGCTCTTAGCTGAGAATGACTATGTCAAAATTAATATATGGGTGTTTAATTTCAGCCATCTTTTTTGATCAATCTCTATAATGTTGTTGCTATTGCATATAAATCTTGCTTGAGGTTCAGGGATACAAAAACCTGACATTTTTCCCCAAGTCGACTTTAATTCCTGTTTCCAGGTTCCTTAATTCTGTTTGACATACTGTCTAACCAGAAGGACTTGGCTTCATCCGTAAATGCTGGAGCATTCTCTGGTGTTAATGGGACTGTGAAGGATGTGGCTGTTCATGATAAACAGGTAATTTGTGTGCTCATTTTTCCAGGCAAATAGGTCTGATATTTTCAGCAACTCTTTCTTAAGTTTTCAGAATTTATTAGCTGAAACACGGTAGTGGGTTCTGATAGTACATTTCAACATGGCAATGGAGATGTGCAGTTTTGTAAATATCGTCAGTTCTCAGAAAAAACTACTTGCATTTCTCTCAAGTTCCAAGTAGGCTGGTAATGGGATTTGATCATGAACATCAGCTTTGACCCTTGTGAACACATAACTTGGTTTTAACAGTGTCTAAATGGTGGAGAGCTACATCTGGGAAAGAATCTATGTTCAGGCTAGAAATGGTGACCAGTTTGATGAATAAAGGAAGTATTTTTGAGTGTCAGAAAACTCAAGAAAACTGTTGTCTCTTAGTAATTTTTAAATAGATCAGCAAAACAAATATTATTAGTGGAAAATCTCTATCTCACTTTACTAAAAATAGATGTATATTTACAGAGCTTGCATGAAAATGTTTTGAGGAGAAAATAGTTCAACTTGCTTTTGCTTGTTGCCTATTGGTTTTTCACTGTTAGCTGATGTGATTCTGTTTCTGTGCTGTTTTGTCAGATGACTGAAGACACCAGTTCCTTGGGCTCCTCAATTGCTACTTCTGGTGATGACCTTTGTGAGCCTGAAGTAGAGGATGATGTTCCTACTTTGCAGAAGACCCTGGAAATGCTCAGTTTGTCAGAGTACACAAGCACATTTGAAAAGGAGCGAATTGACATGGAGTCTCTGGTACAGCAATGTTCACTTGACTTGTGGGGATTGCCCAGGGAATGGAGATTTATGTTTGGTTTTTTTTGTTGCTGTTTTGTGTGTGTGACCATGTGGCATGAGAGCAGCTGCAAAGATAAGATAATCAATGCATGACTTGAAGACTAAATATTATGTGACTCTCTTCTTGGTGTGGGGCATCCCCCCGAATTATGTTAAGGCACTTTGTGTCATGTCTGAAGTTTCTGTAATTTCTGTAGCTTTATAAAATTACTTGCCAAATTCGTAAGTCATTGCCAGTAAGAAACTTTCTGTGTTAGCAGAAAAGTTATGAAGTATGGTTTGATGTGTGTGTTTGGTGTCTTTTTCCTTAGCTCATGTGTACAGTTGATGACCTGAAGGAAATGGGAATACCTCTTGGGCCAAGAAAGAAAATAGCTAATTTTGTAAAGGACAGAGCAGCCAAGCAGGTAATTACATTCTTCAGGAATGAAATGACAAGTGGTTAAGCAAATGTAACTGATTTCCTTGCTGTGGATTAGCTTCTGTTCTTGAACACACTTGCTAATATCGTGGGCAAGTTAAAGGAATTTTTGAAACTGTGAAATAAAGTTTTTTCCCACCTTGACTTTTCAACTTTTCTCAAAAGGAACAAAAGAAAGCAGCAGCAGAAAAGAAAGCAGTGCTGGCTGCCACACTGCAGACTCAAGAAGATGCCCAGAAAGTAAGGGAGACAGGAACTTCTGTCTCCTCTTCAGAGTCTGGTCAGCTGCACGCAAAGAGGAAGCTTCCTGTTGGAGCATCTGTGTCTTCTGTGAACATTGACTATGAGTATTTTGAAGTTGGAACTGGCCAGGTGAGACTACACAGATCGACATGATTTGTATATTCTGGTTTTTGGGGTTTGTTTTGTTTATTTTATTTTTATGGGATTTTCTATTTATTTATTTGTAAGTTTTATTTGAACATTGATGACTTCGTGCTACTTCCCTTGATTGTTATACAAAAACTATGTTGACACAGAACTTCACCCTTTGGCAGGAGGGAGGGCCTGGAGAGTGGGTTGGATTGCTGGAAAGCAGAACTTAATATAATAAGACTGTGGCTGCAGTTGATTTTCAGTTTCAGCAGTGAGTGAGCTGTAAACATGGTTCAGTTCCAGAAGCAGAACTGTGTGAGTGGTATAATATTGAATGCTTCTGGGCCTTTACAGTTAACGTGGGAACCAAAATTGATCCATTTATGCTGTTATATTTAAGGTTTACCTCAAACTAAACTTAAAAACCAAACCTCATAAACTTCTTGGTTTAAATATATATTTTATTTTTTTATTTCAATATTTTTTTCTAGAACAACCCCAACAAATCAGTTTAATGTTCTAGTATTAATTTACACCAGGACTTTGGTATTAGTATGGAAGAGACCAGTGCAGCTGAAGTTTCCTGGAAGTACTGTGAGCATGTGGTTGATTTAATACACAACATGTTTTTTCCTTCCTAGCTAAGCACTTAATAAACTGGGTGGCAGTTCTGAGAGATGATGTGTCTGGTTTCTGCCTGGTAGGTTTCTGTGGTTTACAGTGCATTGGACTTTGAACCAGATATTTTCTTTGCTCTTGGCTCCCCTATTGGAGTGTTCCTTACTGTGAGGGGTGTGGAGAAGATTGATGAGAACTACAGACTTCCTACCTGCAAGGGATTCTTCAATATTTATCACCCAGTGAGTAAGCTGTGCCTTTGAGGCTTGATTTGAGTTGACACAGGTGGCAAAGACTGCAGAGTGCTAAGCTTTAATTTCTAAACATTACACTTTTTCTCCCCTGCATACATTTCCCAGAACATACTTTTTATTAAAAAATGGCCCAACTGAAATATATATTCCAAATATTTGTGGTCTTCATTGCAAAGGTGAAGTAGATCAGGCTATATGTCCCACACCTAGCATTCCAGGTGTGGGTTGGTCTGAAATCTGCCTTGTTCCTTTCCAGAGCTTAAAGAACTTTATTTGTTTCACTAATTTAAAGCCACTCTTGTAGTTTTTTGTGGACTGTTTCAATTTTTATATGCAATACATTTGTCCTGTCTCATCCTGTTTAACAAATAAACAGTGACATGTTGATAGAGATATCAGAGTGGGAGAAAATCTTGCTGCTCTTTCACTCTTGTGTCTCCCCATTAGAATCTCTTTAGGAGAACAAGACCAAAATAGTTAATGAACCTGCTTAACCTTACAGTTAAACCAAACTGTCATGAGCTAAGTTTTTGTAAATTCAAACAGCACAGAATTCAACAATGGTTCTCTGCAAATCATAAATAGGGAATTCTGTAACTGAAGTGTGATAATTAGAATAATTTCTGAGATAACTCAGTGTCCATGTGTTATTTCTTAACAGCTTGATCCAGTGGCTTACAGGTTAGAACCGATGATCATTGACGACACGGATTTAAAACCAGTTCTCATTCCACATCATAAAGGCAGAAAAAGACTTCATCTGGGTAAAAACAAAACTTCCTTTATATGGGTCTCATTCCTAATTTACTCATTCAGTGCATTAGAGTATTGTAAAATTTTAGGAGACTAATGAGTGTTCTCAGGTATCTGACTCCATGTTTTCCTAAACGTCAGGTAATTCCATCCAGCCCCATAAGATGGACATTCACAGTTTCATTCAGAAATAATAATCTTAGTTCCTGCAGATTTGAGCTTCTCAGTACCAAAGTTCCATTTAAAACTTGCTGTACATTGTTTTTTTTCCCTTCATTTCTAAGATGATGTGAAACAGAAATTAAATTTCTTGGTTTCTTTAACCTTGTCCCTAATGACCACCATGGCATGTTTCACCAATGTCTGTTCAGTGCTGGAAACCTTGAGGAAAAAGATGGTTTTGTGGGCAGGGATTGGATTTTGTTGCTCACAGGTACACATCAGACCAAGGTGCTGTACTTCAGTTTTGCACACCCAGTAGGGA